AAAAAAAAAAAAAAACATAGGTAATTGTCTAGGGCCCCTATATTATGCGTCCCTCCTTTGTGCGAAGGTCCACCCTCTCCCAGCCCTTTTGGATCTGGACCCGTCAAAACTGCGAGCTCTGAACCCTAAACGGCAACCCCCAAACCCCCAAACCTTACACCTGATCCCTATTTGGGAGTTTCCGAAAATAAGNNGGTACCTTATTTGGGGGTCCTGATAATAGGGATCCTATTATTTAGGGTACTATATTAGGGTCCCCTATGTTTCGGAAACCCCCATTTCGATCCGAACAGCCACCAAACTCCTGATGCTGATGGGCCCCAGAACCCGAAGCATCCCTAGACCACCCTGACCCCTAAACCCTGAACCCCTTATAGATCCCCTTTAAGGGTTAAGGGTTAAGGGTTTAGGGTTTAGGGTTTAGGGTTTAGGGTTATAGATCCCCTTAAGGGAACCCTTAATAGAGCCCTTCGAGATCCCTTTGAAAGGAGCCCTAAACCCTAAAGCCTAACTGGAGGCTCTCATGGACCTCGATGGCAAGCTTGCACGGGACGAAGCAAGAGTCAAGGCTCCGGGGGTTTAGTGCTTTGGGTTTAGGAGTTTAGGGATCAGGCTTTAGGGATCAGGGCTTAGGGAGTAGGGCTTAGGGATCAGGCTTTAGGGATCAGGGATCAGAGTTTAGGGTTTGTGGGGATTAGGGAGTAGGCCCCTTGCGCGTTTCAGGTGTTTATTTGAGAGTTTCTTGGGTGCTTCCTGGGTTTCAAGGCGTCCACTTGAAACACTCGAAGCCCGAACCCCTGAACCCTCGAAGACCCGAGAGAGTCTCGAGCGATTTTCAAACTTCGGGGCTCCCCTTAAACCCTATAAACCCTGAGCCCTAAACCCTAAACCCTAAGCCTAAATCCTGAGCCCTAAACCCTAAACCCTAAGCCTAAACCCTAAACCCAAAACCCAAAACCCTAAACCCTAAACCCCAAACCCTAAGCCAAAATCCTAAACCCTAACCCGAAACCCTAAAGCCTGAGCCCTAACCCTAGACCAAAACCCTAAACCCTAAACCCGAAACCCGAAACCCTAAAGCCCGGAGCCCTAAACCCTAAACCCCAAGCCACGGTT